AGCCAGCGCTCGCCTCTGTACGTTCAACACTCCTTTCGGCCGTTACAGATTCTTCCGTCTTGCTTTTGGAATTAATTCAGCACCAGAAGTGTTCCACAGGACGGTGGGACAACTGTTTGAAGTAATGGAAGGCGTTGAGACGTACATTGATGACCTGTTGATCTGGGGGGAGACAAAAGAACAGCATGATGAAAGATTGAGACAAGTGCTAGAGAGAGCAAGATTGAGGCTGTAAAGAAAACGCCAACACCTGAATGCAAAAAAGATGTGGAACGATTTCTGGGAATGGTTACGTTCTAAGCAAAGTTCATTCCAAACATGTCACAACACACTGAGCCATTACGTGGACTAACTAGAGATGATGTGGCATGGCAGTGGGGAAATGAGCATCAGCATGCATTCGAAAAATTGAAAACAATGCTCACTGAAGCTCCTTTGCTTAGATACTATGACGTAAACCTTCCTGTGACACTATCGGTGGATGCTTCAAAAAAAACGGACTTGGTGCTGTCCTACTGCAAGAGGGCAAACTGATTGCATATGCATCGCGTGCTTTGACTGAAACAGAGCAGCGCTATGCGCAAATCGAAAAGGAAATGTTAGCGATTGTGTTCGGGGTAGAACGTTTCCATCAGTATGTGTATGGAAGGGAAATTAATGTGGAGTCAGATCACAAGCCACTTGAAGTGATAATGAAAAAACCATTGAGCAGTGCTCCAGCTAGAATACGGAGACTGTTAATGAGACTGCAGAAATATCAAGTGCATGTACAGTACAGGCTGGGAAAGGAGATGCATATTGCAGATGCATTGTCCAGAGCTTACTTACTAGTGACCGGCTCACTTGATAAAGACATAGAAGCTCAGGTGCACATGGTGGTTTCTAATTTGCCTGTGTCAAGTGAGAAATTAGAAGAATTCAGAAAAGAAATAAAGAATGATAAGACACTGATTAAACTCACAGAAACAGTCCTGAGTGGATGGCCGAAGACAAAGAGTCAAGCTGCAAAGGAAATACAAATGTATTGGAATTACAGAGAGGAAATTTCAGTAGTGGAAGATGTTCTATTCAAAGGAGAACGACTCATTGTTCCAGCAGCAATGTGTCAGGAGCAGTTACAGAGAGAGAACCCAAATGCAGGTGAAAAAATATGGATTTATTTTTCTTTACAAAAAAACAAACTTGGCAAAAAACTTCTCAAACTGGTCAAAAAATGTATCCTTTGCCTGGCAACAGTCACAGAATGGCAAGATTCTAGGAGGCAAAACCACATAGATGCAGGCTGCTGCTGAAGTAAGGACAGGCAGAGGTAACCAGATGAAATCTCCAAAAACAACCAGATGTATAAGCTTGAAAGGCCAGAGTCAGGTAGGAGGGAGATCCAGATATCAAAGCCAACAGAACCAGGTCTCAGTATCCCAGGCAGGCCAAGAGCACATAAACAGATGACGCTGCTGAGAGCTCAAGAGCAAACAACAATCTGGCAAAGTACGACACACACAAGAGGAATAAGTAGGGCAATCAATAAACAGGATAACGAGCAGTGGCAGGTGAGACAAATAGACTAATAAAGTGAAACGAAGGGGTGGGGCCAAGACATGACAAATGAAGAAACACAAAACAAAACAGAAGCCATGTGCTAGATGCACATGACAACATGAACACAAGCAGACAGACAAAGCCAGGCTGATCAGCCCGAGGTCCTGACAGTACCCTCCCCTCCAGGATCGCCCCTGGGTGATCCCAAAGGAGCAGCCAACTGCCGGTGGTGAAACTCCTCAATCAATGACCGGTCCAAGATATCCCGGGCTGGGACCCAGCATCTCTCCTCCGCACCGTACCGCTCCCAATCCACGAGGTACTGGAACCTACGCCCTCTGCGCCTGGAGTCTAACAGCCTCTTAACCGTATAAACAGGGGATGGATGGATGCCAGCGTCCTCCTCACTCCCGGATGGCAAGCAAGCTTTGAGTGGCCCCACTGAAGGACAGAAGAACGAATTACCTTTGGTACAAATAAAAGGTTACTGGGGCATGCTTTAGGCACCTCAATTCCACGAAGAACCTGTTTAACCTGTGCCTCAATATCCGTACCTGGATAGAACGAGAGAAGATCAGGATATCATCCAGGTACACAAAGACAAACTTGTTTACCATGTCACCTAGCACATCGTTGACCAGGGCCTGGAAGACAGCTGGGGCATTGGTCAGCCCAAACGGCATGACCCGATACTCAAAATGCCCCGTGGGAATGTTAAAGGCCGTCTTCCACTCATCCCCCTCTCTAACACGGACCAGATGGTAAGCATTGCGGAGGTCCAACTTCGTGAAGAATTCCGCTCCCTGCAATAACTCAAAGGCTGAAGACATTAAAGGTAGGGGGTACCTGTTCTTAACAGTAATGTCATTCAGCCCCCGATAATCAATACAAGGATGCAGGGATCCATCCTTCTTCTCCACAAAGAAGAACCCCGCGCCCACTGGAGAAGAGGGGCGGATGAGGCTGGCTGCCAGAGAGTCACCGATATACTTATCCATAGCCTCACGCTCTGGACCCGAGAGGGAGTACAACCTCCCCCGAGGAGGAGAAGTACCAGGGAGGAGATTGATGGCACAATCATAGGGTCGGTGAGGAGGAAGAGACACAGCCCGGGACCTACTGAAGACCTGCCGAAGATCATGATAAACCACCGGGACCCCAGACAAATCAGCTTCCTCCGCCTGAGAAACAGAAAACACAGAGCCAGGAGACAAGGCAGCACCCAAACAATACTGAAGACAAAAAGGGCTCCAAGAGAGAACAATTCTCAGCCCACTCAATGTGGGGGTTGTGCTTCACCAGCCAAGGGTGCCCCAGCACAATGGAAGTGCCGGGGGACTCCAGCAGGTAAAACACAATCTCCTCACGGTGGTTGCCAGAAATAGTAAGACTTACGGGGACAGTAGAATGAGATATAAGGGCAAGATGAGAACCATTAAGTGCACGAGCCGTCAAGGGAATCTGAAGACGAATGGTAGGGATCCCCCACTTAGCAGCCAGAGAGGAGTCCATGAAGTTGCCCTCAGCCCCAGAGTCCACCAAGACAGGGCATGAGTGAGAGAAGCGATCCCACTGAACTTTGGCAGGAAGAAGAGTACGTGCTGTAGGAGATTCGCTGACAGGGGTTACGCTCACCAGTATTCCCCTGGCTACTGGCGAGCATTGCCTTTTAACGAACAGTTTGAAGCAAAGTGCCCAGATCTGCCACAGTATAGACACAGGCCTTTGGTAATGCGACGTTGCCTCTCCTCAGCTGTAAGTCGAG